CTTGCTGTCTATGCTGATTATGTTGGCAATCTCAAAACTATATGTTACAACAACTTGGCCGATACGATTTTTGTTCTAGGAGACTTCAATCTGCCTGGCATACAATGGATTCAAGATGATGAGACAATAGGTTTGACTCCAACTAATATTAAATCAGAAAAAGAGACTCTTATATGCTACAATTTTGCGTCATGCGATCTTTGTCAATTTAACAATATTGCCAACTGCAATAATAATATTCTTGACCTTTGTTTTTCCAACTGTGATAGTCTTACTGTAAGTCGTACTGGTGAGTTTGTAAAGGTGGATAAGTTTCATCCACCTCTTAAATTTGTGATATCTGACTGTAACTGTAATTATTACGGTGATACATTCTGTGATACCTATCGTGATTTCAGAAACTGTGATTATAATGCCATCAATTCTTTCCTGTTTAACTTTAACTGGGATTTTATTAGTAGCGATAATGACATATGTGATATTGTAGATGACTTTTACCAGTGTTTGTATTTCATTTGTGATAATTTTATACCAATCCGGAAATCTAAAAGTAAAAATTTTCCCTCTTGGTTTAGCCATGAAACTAGAAAGTTAGTGATTGAGAAGAACAAATTACATCGTCGTTATAAAATAAGCCGTGATATCAGAGATTATTATAATTTCAGTTTAATTAGAGCCAAATGTAAACAAGAAATCGCTAGCTGTTACAACAAATTTATTAAGAACACCGAATCTCAAATCAACTCTAACCCAAAACATTTTTGGAATTTTATTAAGAGTGTAAAAAACAGTTGCGACTTTTCAAATATAATGATTTATAAAAGTATTGATGTTTGCGGGTTTCAAAACATAGTTGATACGTTTGCCAGTTTTTTTTCTTCCGTATATACTAATAATACCAGCAGTAGTAGTAATTATAACTATCCTTACACAATTGACTCATTTGTTGACATCAGCTCTGTGCATATCACGGAAGATTTGGTAGCAAGAGAACTTAATGCTCTAAACTTAAACAAGGGTGCTGGGCCAGATGAGTTACCTCCAACATTTTTTTATAACTGCAGAGATTCATTGGTTATACCACTAACACGAATTTTCTCTATTTCAATAAGTTCGGGAAAATTTCCTGACTTGTGGAAATCTGCACGTGTGGTACCAATCTTTAAATCTGGCAATAAGCAAGACATTGAAAACTATCGACCGATTAGTATAATTTCAGTTCTATCGAAAATCTTTGAAAACATTGTGTCCAGTTTCATAAGTGATTCTTTTAGAAACGTAATCAGTGTGTCACAACATGGTTTTTGTTCTGGTAGATCAACTGAATCTAATCTCTTTGTATACATAAATGATATTTTTAATGCAATTGAGGACGGTTCGGAAATTCACTGCATCTACACAGACTTCCACAAGGCGTTTGATTCTGTTGATCACACCATTTTGATACACAAACTTCTACTCTACGGCGTTCGTGATCCTTTACTTTCATGGATTCAATCTTATATCAGTCATCGTCTACATTTTGTACAATTAATGAAGTTCAAGTCATCTACCTACGAATCAACATCTGGAGTTCCTCAAGGCTCGGTTATAGGACCACTTTTATTTAATATCTTCATTAACGATATCTGCTTGAATTTCAACTCAAATTCCTTACTGTATGCAGATGACTTGAAGTTATATAAGAAGATTGATTCCATGTATGACATAAATACTTTGACAAATGATCTTATATGTCTTAACGATTGGTGTAAACTCAATCATATGTCTCTTAACATTAAAAAATGCAAAGCAATGTGCTTTAGTCGCAAAAGTCGTCCCACAGTTCCATTGTACCTACTAGAAAATACGCCCTTAGACATAGTTAGCAATGCCAAGGATTTGGGTATCTATTTAGACACTAAATTATCTTTCGTCAGTCACTGTGAATATGTTGTTTCTAGAGGTAGAAAACTTTTGGGGTGTTTAAAGCGGTGGACGGTGAACTTCAGTAACATCAGAACCATTCTGATATTATACTATTCGTTAGTCCGATCGATATTGGAATTCAATTGTGTCAACTGGTCACCGTTTTATATCACTCACATAAGCCGAATTGAAGCTGTCCAAGTCAAACTTTTAAAATATGTCAAATATAAGTTGTGTGGTGATGGTATTGTGTTAGCAGATACAGACCTTGTTGCATCTTATCTGTCAGTACATACACTAGAAAATCGTCGTAAGTATCACAAACTATGTTTTCTTTTTAAATTATTAAATGGTTTAATTGAAGCCCCCATATTGCTAGCGTTGGTAGGTCTTAATGTGTCAATCCGTAAGGTTCGTACGCCTAGGCTGTTTTTTATACCAGTTCATAAAACGAATTATGCATTACATTCGCCTCTAAATAGCGTTTTGATGATTGCTAACGAATGCAACACTTTAGAGTTTTTTGGTATCTCCCTCAACGCCTTCAAGAAAGAATGTCGCAAATTGTTACTGTTATGTTAATATGAATTGTTATGTTAATATTTTGTTTTGTTATGTACTTTATGTAATGCCTTTACATCTTTCGGCGTAATAAAGCACTATTATTAAAATTCTCAAATCCTCGAAACTCCAAAATCCTCAAATGTTCAAAACACCAAAATCTTCAAATCCTGAAAACAACAAAATCCTCAGATCGTCAAACACGAAAATCCTCAAATTCTCAAAAGATCAAAATCCTCAAATCCTCAAAACATCAGAATCTTCAAATGTTCAAAATACCAAAGTCGTCAAATCCTCGAAACACCAAAATCCTCAAATCCTCAATTCTTAAAACATCAAAATTCTCATATCCTCAAAACACCAAAATCTTCACATCCTTAAAGCAGAAAGAGTTTCAACCCCGATGGAAAAAGAAAATCCGGATATAGAGAAGGAGAAAGATGCTTGTGGTGGAAAGAGAGAGCGACAGGTAGGATGGCAAACAGGCAGAGGAACGGAGAGAGCGAGATAATTGAAAAAAACCGAAGGGTAGGCGACAAGAAAAAAAAAAGGAAAGAGAAGGGAAAGGGAAAGAAAGAGAGATATTCGAAATGGAAAGAGAGAGCGACAGATAGGATGGGAATCAGACGGAGGAACAGAGAGAACGAGAGTGTTGAGAGAAGCAGAAACAGAGGAGGAAGAAAGAGAGGCCGACAAGCAAAGACTATCGAGATTCACAGAGAAAGATAGAAAGACAGAAGGCCTTGAAGGGAAAAGAAAGAAACTGAATGATAAAAATAAAAAAGCGCGAGAAACCTAGAGAGAGAGGAAAAGAACCCAAGAAAGGACGCAAGCTGGAAAGAGAGCAAGAACGGGAGCGGCAAAACCTGGAGAATTTGTAAATAGGAGAGACAACATGGAGGAGTGAGACAACCTAAAAAGAGAGATAGGACGCGGTGAGAAAGAGAGAGTCGCAAAGAGGAAGAAAGAATCTCAGGAAAGAATGAGATCTCGAAGAAATAGAGAAAATCTGGAGAGAGAAGGATAATCTAGAGAAAGATAAAGAAATCAGGGAAAGAGAAAACTCAGGGAGAAGGGGAATTCGAAGAGAAAGAAAGAGAACTTGGGTATAGCGGAGAACCTAAAGAAGAGATTGTGGAGGGGAACACAGAAAGAACTTGGAAAAAAAGAAAATTGGAAAATAGAGACATAACTCAGAACAGCCCAGAGCGAGAAGGGGAATTCGAAGAATGGGGAGAGGGAAAGAGAGAGAGGGAGAACCTGATATAGAGGGAGAACTTAGACAAAGTAACCATCTGGATAGAAAGAGAAAGAGATGGAGAAGGATTAGAAAAAATCAGAGAATGGAGGAACGTCGGAGAGTGTAATTGGAGACGAAGAGGAAAGGAGGAAAAGAATGAGCAAAGCTGGTAAAAAGCGTGAAACGATGGAGAAGGAAAGAAAGAAAGAGCGAAATATAAAATAGAAAAGGGATAGAGAATAGAGAGAAGGAGATAATTGAAAAAAGGAGAAAGAGACTCGGAATGAAAGAGAGGGAGAAAAGGAAAAACCATGGAGAGTGAAAGAAAGCCTGGACTGGAAAAATAAGGAATCTGGAGAGAAAAAGGAAGAAACTGGAAGGCGAAAAGTATGAACGTGGAGAGATTAAGAAAAAAAAGAGAGAACTCCGAGAGAAAGAGAGTACGAAGAACGAGAAAGAGAACTTCAATATGGCGACAGTATTCGGAGAGAAAAAGAGAACGTGAAGGAGGGCACAGAGTAAAAGTAAAAATTCTTAGAAACAAGGAAAGAACCTATGACGAGGGGATCCAGATGTACAGACAGAATTTGAGGAAAAAGAGAATCTAGAGAAAGAAAGTATCCGGAACAAAAGAGCGAACTCTGAGAAAAAAATCGAAACGAAAGTGAGTCTGCAAACAAAGAGAAAAAAAAATGTGAAAAACGACAGAATTTAGGTAGATATAATGGGGCAGAGAAGGAGACAGGGAGGAAGCGAGAACCTACAAAAACTTAGAGAGAGAAAAATAGGGAGCAGGGGAGAAGTAAAGAGAAGTATCTCAGAGAAGGAATGAAAAGGAAAAGGGATATGATGTACAAAAGGAAGAAAGGAAAATGGACGAAGAAAATGAGATGATCGGAAAATGAGACAGAGGCAAATAAAAAGATTTATACTTGTACAAGGGTGGTGGAAGGATAGATAGCAGTAAAGGATAAGTGAAAACAGAAAGAAACAGGCAGGCATTTTTAGGGAGACAGAATGGAAATTCGAGTCGGAGAAGAGGGAAAAAAGAAAGAGAAAAAATATGTAGGTAATAAAAGGAAAAAACGGAGAGGGAGAACACTACAATGTGTTAACAAACTGGAAGAACTTTTTTCCAGAAACGATATTTTGTTTGACTTTGTTAAACACAAAGTTTGCTAAAAATTCTCAAAACTGGTCTCGACAAGGCAAAATTGAGCTAAGTGAAAGTCACTTTTAATTTTGCAACTTTTCCCCGTTTAAAACTTAATAAACCCTCTTGTTTGCTCACCAGGATCCAATCGGGCTTTTCTTCTTGTCCTTCTCCGTCTGCCTGGAATTATTCTTATTGACTTGTTTCCAAATGCCAGTTTTGTTGACTTCTTCCGAGATATTAATGGCCGAAAGCGGTATGTTCATGACGTTTCCATTCGCCAGAGGGATTTTCAGATTACCAGCGGCTTCAATTTCGAGCTGACCTTTTTCAGAATCGTTCTAAACACACACGATTGAAAAAAGTAAATTAAAATGTCGAGAACTTTGCAAAAGTGAGTTCCTACGGGACTATCCCGGCGCATCCACCATTTTGTAACAGCGTTTACTGCTCGTAAACATTAATGAGGTTAATATGGGTGTAAAAGTTCGAGCGGTAGTAAACCATGTTTTCGTCGCAATTAACGGTTCTGATCCATTAGTGTGATATATTTAGGGATGAAATAAATACTGTAATGAAATATATACTGTGTTTGTGTTAGTTTTAATGAAAGTGAAACTTCTTAAATGAAAGTTTGTTGTTTCTTCGACGTTTAATTTAGACCCTCTAGGAATACTTCAATATAGCTCTCATCGTTCCTTTGTGGCGTTCTAATTCGTTTCAGAAGTTTTATTGTTCATATAACAAAGTTAAATTGATCCAGAGACGCAGAAGGGTATTTTAAGGCACTCTATTTTTAGACAAAACTTTCCGCACGAAGTTTCGCGTTAATTACGTTCATTAGTTACTGTGGGTATTCGTTATTAAATGTCACCGAAAGAGGTTAAAGGTTGTCGCATTTTTGAGGTAAGCGTGACTTTTTTAAAAAATGTGGTCTAAATACTTTTTTGTTGTCTCACTTGTGTGTTTCCTGTGTGTTCGTTCTAACAACGGGCACAAAAAAACATACTTACATGCAAATGCAAATGTGATGATCGCCAAGCTGTATTAAAACAGAAAAGTGTGATAATGGAAAAATAAACCAAAAAAACAACATAACACGTAATTTATTTAAACAATAATACTGCATATAAATAAATATATGTAACAGTTATAACAGTCAGACAAAGCATGGAATGCATCTAGTGAATGATGTGTCAACGATTTTAAACAATTTCTTTAAATAAATATATCAATTAAATAAACCAATGTGATTAGTTTCTGGCGAATTCTCTAGATTATACAGACTGTCTACAAATATACGCCACCATTCTCACAAGTCGCATTCATTCGTAGACACTCTATCAACAACGAAATATCAACAATGATCTAGTTTGCTATCTCTTAGTACGCAATCAGCGCCATCTTTCTCTCTGTACTCGCTAGTGCTCAACTTTGGCCCTAGAACGAAACGTGCAAACTTATTCCCGCACCCCACCTCGTCATCTTTTAGCATCTGGTTGCGCTTTGTCATTTCCGGCATAATATCGTCTAAGATCTTCAGCTCGCGGCGCGTGAAGATGAGGTCCAGGGCCTTCCTGATCCCGATCATCACCACCAGCATCAGCGGGAAGAGGATCGAAGTGGTGCTGAAGGACTTGATGGTCCAGAGACACGCCAGACAAGCGAGCTGGATGATGGTGAAGAGGTGGACGCGCTTGATGGGTACCTAAACCAAATTTACCAAATTAACCCATTTGTACTTATTTGACTAGTATCATCATCACCCACCTGTCTCAAGAACATGTAGTCCGGCTGGTACTTATTCGGCATGAAGATGATCAAAATCCTGTCGAAGAACTGCAATCCCTTCAGCGACGCGATTCCCATGTACAGGAACACCCCGAACAGTACCGGCATGGGTATGTGCCCTAATATTGGCGTCAAAAACACTGACAGCCCAATGGTCAAGAAAATCATAATGTGGGTCATCCTTTGCTCCCTCACACCCAGAAACTGTGGCTTCTCCCCAGGAGCCGAACACTCGCTCTCCAGCTTCAGGGAGTTGACGTGGTTGATGGAAAGAACCGTGGCTGCCACGAACCACGGCAAACCCATGATGGAGCAGACCTGGATCAAAATGGACAGCACGAACAGGTCTAAATGGTAGCCGCACTTTTTCTTCAGTTTGTGTTCTTTCCTGTTGACTATGACACTGGTGATTTGTTGGTCCATGAAGATGAGAATTGTGCCCAGAAGAGCCGGCGGTAAAGCCACGAAGACTGAGTAGATGGGGTTGCCGTTGAAGGGAGGGATGACCCAGCCGCGGGTGGGTAGGGTGGGTTTGAAGTCGTGTGGTACCTCGAGCTTGGGGGTGGGGATGCCAACCTTGAAGTCCAACAAGCTCATGGAGAAGATCGCGATAATGACGGCGAAGTCGCTGATGAATTGACGGACCTGGAAATTAAAGGGTCGTGAAAGGTCGTGACATTGGAGGAATTTACCTTTGATGGGAAAAATAGCGCGTTCTTGAAGTCTTTCAGCTGAATGGACAGGAGGAACGTCCCCAGGAATAGTAGAATTGACATGAGGAATACGTCAGGGACGTACATTGGGGTGTCACAGCCGGTTCCCTCTAAAGTTCCGTTCAGAATCTGGAATGGTTATTATTACTAACGGGACGGGATGAAATTTGGGGTGAAATGCTCACCTCACACGCGTTCCTATTGGCTAGATTCCACTCTCCCGCCACTTCGTTCCTAATTACTAAACTGTGATTGGCTGTGCACGAACAGTTGTAGTCCAGTACCCTGCTACCGGAGCCATTCACGCGGAAATGCTTACCAATAAGGGCAACATTTTCTACAGCCTTGTAAATAAATATGAAAGCTATAAGGGTAGCGAAATTCTCTTCGGTAAACCTAGTGATATAACAAACGAGGGCGCTGGCGTCGATGGCCACTAGAATCACTAAAATCACCGCGATCCAAGTCCCTATCCAGAACCGGAAGGCTAAGTAGTCCCAACCGATATTCATACAAAAGTCATACACTATGGTCTCGAAGACTAGCACCGGTCCCGTGGACCCCAAAATGGTCAATGGTTGCCCCGAGAAGAACCCATAACCCATACCGCACACAAAACCCGACACTAGCGACTCCATGGCGGCCATATTGCCACCCGTAGCCTGCGCCAGCAAACCACCAAACGTGATAATAGGGGACAGGCACGCGAAATATAAGAAGATCCAGGAGGCAATGCACTGGGTGGCCAAAGCATCCTGAAACCCAATCAAACTCGTTTTTGTTGCGTGACGTCACAAATCTACTTTACCTTGAAATCCGACCAATAGAACGGGATTTTTCGCTTAATGTCGTTAACTAGCCCCCCGAAAAGCACGCCGCTTCTGGCCAAACCCGACTCCTCCCGCGCCCTCTGCTCCTCCTCCTCCTCGTCAGGCTCTTCGTGCTGCTTCTCCGGGGGCCGCTTCCGCACGTCCTGCGACGGAATCGCCGCTGGCGGCTCGATGCGGATAGCCGGGTCCCACTCCCCTGGGGGCAGCACGGTGACGGCGTCCAGGAACTCGTCAATCCCGGCAAGGAGGTGACTGGTGTTGCGAGCTCTACACAAAAAATTAATCTTTTGAAAGAACGAATCACGAAAAACATACCTGTACGCCACTTCGTGGAAGATCTCGTCCGACATCAGCGTCGCCATGGCGCGGCCGATTTCGTGGTACCCCGTGGACGCCGACAGCGGCGCCAGCAGCACGAAGAGGAACCTGGTGGGCACCGGGACTTCGGTGAGGTCGCCGAGGTTCGTGGCCGAGTTGAGGCGCACGAACACGGAGATGGTTTTGTCGATGAAGTCGACTTCGCCGACGAGGATGTTGCTGGCTTCGGCTCCTGGAGGGATCTTGCGCATGAAGTGCAGGTTGTGCTGGGGGATGTCCCCGTTCATCGAGCCCAAGTCGCTGGTGCTGTAGTTGCGGTTCATGGACATGTTGCTGGCGCTTTTGCGCATTCGGGTTTTGTCGGGGCCTAGAGATGTAGGGGTTATTGGGGGTTGTGATAAAGGGGAGCGTGCGAGATAAAGCTGTGAGAAATGAAAATGGGGCGAGGGTGCTGATTTTAAGTTGGGTGTTAGTGTGGTAGAGCAAGCACAAAGAGAAGCTACTAAGAAGCTTTTTGTAGAGCAAGCGGTTTTGTGTTTAATAGTTGTGTTAGAGGAATACACTCAGAATAGTGTTTGGTAAATTATAAATATGTGATAGAGTGTCAATCTTTTTTTTATAACAAAAATACATCAAACGATCATCAATTGTTAGTACAAATGGCCACGTTATGTCGGGTTAAGTCCCGTCAAGGCAGGTCAGGTCAAGTCAAATCGGTACCATGTCAGGTTGAATCAAGCCAGGTCAGGTCAGGTCAGGTCAGGTCTGATCAGTTCATACCAACCCAAGTTAATTATCATCTAGGCAGCTCCGGTTAGACCAAATCGTATTAGGTCAGATGGTTAGATCCAATCTAAGTCAGAGCAAATCAGGTTTGCCAAGTCAGGCCAGGTCAGGTCAAACCAGGACAGGTCAGGTCAGATCAACTATTATGAAAAAGCCTCTGGTATAAATAATATACCAGCGGAAATAGTAAAATGTTTAATAGACAAAGAAGATGGAACGGTACACAAAATGGCCAACAGTTTTCCGATTTTCCAACTTTTGGACGTTTCAATTTTTAGATCTAAAATTTTTCGATTTGCAATTTCACCAGTTTTCAATTTTAAATTTTTCCATTTTTAGATTTTTCAGTTTTTCAAGAAAAACTATGTATATAAAGGAAAAATACAGATATTAAGCCCCGATATCAGTTGTGATGAGTTTTTCATTCCTAATCAGAGGGGGGGCGGAGTTTAATTGTAACATTATTTCTTGTAGAAAAATGAGGATTTTGCAGCTAAACTCCGCCCTTCAGTTCACGATGAATAAAGCATTCATCACAATTGCGAATGGGTGGGTGGGCGGGGCTTCTACTTGTTCCGTTTTTTCTTAATATGCGAAGTCTTCTTTTCTCAACAAGAAACTGACAATATGTTTAACTATCCTGTTGTTGAAAGAAAACTCTATATATTAAAAAAAAACAAAAATTAAGCCCCAACGATCTCAATTGTGATCAGTTTTTCATTCCTAATCAGACCGAAGGGTGCAGTTTAACTGCAAAATCCTCATTTGCCTACAAAAATTTATCATATGGAATATGTTTTTGCATCAATATTTCTCTAAAAAAATCTACCCTTTTAAAAACATATTTCATATGGTAATTTCTTGTAGAGAAATGAGGATTTTGCAACTAAACTTCGCCCTTCAGCTCACGATCAACAAAATATTCGTCACAATCGAGAAGGGGTGGGTGGGCGGGGCTTATATTTTATCCGTTTTTTCTTAATGTACGGAGTCTTTTTTTCCCAACAAGAAACTGGACCAAATATGCGCCCCGCCCACCCACCCCTTCTCAATTGTGATGAATGTTTTATTCGTCGTGAGCTGAAGGGCGTAATTTAACTGCAAAATCCTCATTTCACTACAAGAAATTATCATATGGAATATGTTTTTATATTAATATTTCTCTAAAGAATTCTACCCTTTGAAAAACATATTTCATATGGTAATTTCTTGTAGAGAAATGAAGATTTTGCAACTAAACTCCGCCCTTCAGCTCACGATGAATAAAATATTCATCACAATCGAGAAGGGGTGGGTGGGCGGGGCTTATATTTCATCCGTTTTTTCTTAATCTACGGAGTCTTCCTTTTCCAACAAGAAACTGGACCAAATATAAGCCCCGCCCACCCACCCTTCTCAATTGTGATGAATGGTTTATTCATCGTGAGCTAAAGGGCATAATTTAACTGCACAATCTTCATTTGTCTACAAAAAATTATCATATGGAATATGTTTTTACATCAATATTTCTCTAAAAATCTACTCTTTTAAACACATATTTCAGATGGTAATTTCTTGTAGAGAAATGAAGATTTTGCAATTAAACTCCGCCCTAGCTCACGATGAATAAAATATTCATCACAATCGAGAAGGGGTGGGTGGGCGGGGCTTATATTTGATCCGTTTTTTCTTAATCTACGGAGTCTTCCTTTTCCAACAAGAAACTGGACCAAATATAAGCCCCGCCCACCCACCCCTTCTCAATTGTGATGAATGGTTTATTCATCGTGAGCTGAAGGGCGTATTTTAACTGCAAAATCCTCATTTGTCTACAAAAAATTATCTTATGGAACATGTTTTTACATCAATATTTCTCTAAAAAAATCTACCCTTTTAAAAACATATTTCATATGGTAATTTCTTGTAGCGAAATGAGGATTTTGCAATTAAACTCCGCCCTTCAGCTGACGATGAATAAAATATTCATCACAATCGAGAAGGGGTGGGTGGGCGGGGCTTATATTTCATTCGTTTTTTTTTAATCTGCGGAGTCTTCTTTTCCCAGCAAGAAACTGGACCAAATATAAGCAAAAAGGTCGAGTAAGATAAATTCAGGTCCGGCTGGGCCAAACCAGGTTAGGTCAGATCAGGTCAGGTCAGGTCCGGCTAGGCCAAATCAAGTCAGGTCAGGTCATCTAACCTTTTTAAAAACATATTTCATATGGTAATTTCTTGTAGAGAAATAAGGATATTGCAACTAAACTCCGCCCTATAGCTCACGATGAATAAAATATTCATCACAATCGAGAAGGGGTGGGTGGGCGGGGCTTATATTTCATGCGTTTTTTCTTAATCTTCGGAGTCTTCTTTCCTCAACAAGAAACTGAACCAAATATAAGCCCCGCCCACCCACCCCTTCTCAATTGTGATGAATGTTTTATTCGTCGTGAGCTGAAGGGCGCAACTTAACTGCAAAATTCTCATTTGTCTACAAAAAAGTATCATATGGAATATGTTTTTACATCAATATTTCTCTAAAAAATCTACTCTTTTAAACACATATTTCAGATGGTAATTTCTTGTAGAGAAATGAGGATTTTTCAACTAAACTCCGCCCTTCATCTCACGATGATTAAAATATTCATCACAATCGAGAAGGGGTGGGTGGGCGGGGCTTATATTTCTTCCTTTTTTTTCTTAATGTACGAAGTCTTCTTTTCCCAACAAGAAACTGGACCAAACATAAGCCCCGCCCGCCCACCCCTTCTCAATTGTGATGAATGTTTTATTCATCGTGAGCTGAAGGACGTAATTTATCTGCAAAATCCTCATTTCTCTACAAAAAATTATCATATAAAATATGTTTTTACATCAATATTTCTCTAAAGAAAAACATATTTCGTATGGTAATTTCTTGTAGAGAAATGAGAATTTTGCAACTAAACTCCGCCCTTCAGCTCACGATAAATAAAATATTCATCACAATCGAGAAGGGGTGAGTGGGCGGGGCATATATTTCATACGTTTTTTCTTAATCTACGGAGTCCTCTTTTCCCAACAAGAAACTGAACCAAATATAAGCCCCGCCCACCCACCCCTTCTCAATTGTGATGAATGTTTTATTCATTTTGAGCTGAAGGGCGTAGTTTAACTGCAAAATCCTCATTTGTCTACAAAAAATTATCATATGGAATATGTTTTTACATCAATATTTCTCCAAAAAAAATCTACCCTTTTAAAAACATATTTCATATGGTAATTTCTTGTAGAGAAGTGAGGATTTTGCAACTAAACTAAGCCCTATAGCTCACGATGAATAAAATATTCATCACAATCGAGAAGGGGTGGGTGGGCGGGGCTTATATTTCATCCGTTTTTTCTTAATCTACGGAGTCTTCCTTTTCCCAACAAGAAACTGGACCAAATATAAGCAAAAAGGTCAGGTCAGGTAAATTCAGGTCTGGCTAGGCCAAAACAGGTTAGGTCAGATCAGGTCAGGTCAGGTCCGGCTAGGCCAAATCAAGTCAGGTCAGGTCATCTGATAGCTCAGTCACTTAAAATTTAGTTAGTGAGTGTGGAAATATATACTGGTAAAAGTGGTACACAATTTACGTTAGAAAATGTGCATTCAAGTTTTCTTCATGCCAAAGACATTCGTCTCAAGAAAACGTCAACATTTCCAAGAAGTTAAGTGCGTGTTCTTCGAATTTCCTTTATGACAGAATTAAGAACAAATGAAATGAATAATCTTGATGATAGTAGAACGACAGTAAATTCTAGAAGAGTCCTTTTTGTCTGGATCCAAGACTAAAAACGAATCTAGCAAACGGTTGATCTAGTCAAAATCGAGAGAATTTGTTTACCATGATCTTGAGTTTTAAAAAGGAAATGAGATGATAAACGACGAAATGGGAAAAATGTTGGGTGTAAGTTCCACTGGCATCCTATTATCTCACTAAAAAATGAAAATTCCAGGTTCTTGAAATAGTCCCTTAATTAATATTTTTCCTTCAAGTGATGGAATAATATTTCTCCAGAGAACAGTTGATTAACTTGAAAAAATAGAGCAAATTTTGCAGTCATTAACGAGTTGTCTTTGAGTTAGAAGTGTATTTATGGAAAAAAAAAACAAGAAATAGTTTCTAGAAGCTTCGTCGACTCTAAAAAAAAAACAAGTAATCGTGAGGTTGTGTTGAAAAATTTCCAAAAGGTCTACACAAAACTACGCACACAATATTCATGGAGAGAAATTACAAAGAAAAGAAAAAAATAAAAACAACAAATAAAAACATGATATTTTTAGACAATAGGAGTAATTATTAAAACAGTATTAGTGATAGTCATACTTATTTTAGAATGTAATCTATTTTTTTTTAATTCATCCAATGACAAACAATTTTATGAAGTTGTCAGTTCACGTGTCAGAAACAATAAAACAAAGTAATTTATTAATAGCCTTTTAAAATAGTGTTTTTAATAACTATAGTGATACAGGGGATTAATTTATATATTAATCGGAAATATAGGATTAGTGTAATCGATTATGTTTTCTAGGTACAGCAAAATATGTCCTAATCACGAAAAATGTAAGATTAATAAGAA